AAAAATTGTTTGATATCAATGTCAAATATGAAAAATTGACAGATAAGATAAAATCCTCAGAAAGACAGACTAGTGGAACTAAGAAAAATATTCACGTGCAAACAGAGATGTTTACAGCAGAAGTTATAACACCAGGGAATTATGAAAATGAAGGGGTGAAGCCCAGGGTTATTAGAAAACCAACTTTAATTCATAGTTCATTCAAGAGTCCTCGGGGGAGACCTTGATCTGAAGGAGGTGGGAATGGGGAGTGGGCTGGGAGGAAGGGGAAGGGGGCAGGAAGGGTGAGAACAAGGGAATCTGTGGCTATTGTGTAGAACTGAATAGTATTGTAAAATAAATAAAAAGAAAACCAACTTTAAGCCGGGCAGTGGTGGTGCACACCTTTAATCCCAGCACTCTGGAGGCAGAGGCAGGCGGATCTCTGTGAGTTTGAGGCCAACCTGTACTACCAATTGAGTCCCAGGAAAGGCGCAAAGCTGCACAGAGAAACCCTGTCTTGAAAAACCAAAAAAAGAAAAAAAAGAAAAGAAAAGAAAATCAACTTTAATTTATCCAGTTATCATTCAAGAATGACAACCAGATGACAGGTATCCCCAAGGCTATTCATGAGTTAAATGGGAACCTATAGAAATGTTAGATTTGAAGAGATTTAAGGAAGCAATAGTCTCATATGGCATGCATTCACCTTTTGTGAAGCAGATGTTAGATTTATGGTCCACTTGGAACACAATTATAGCACAAGACTGAAAAGATTTAGGTATAGCAATATTGAAATATAGTCCTCAGCTACAGTGGAACACTTGGTGGGGAGATAAAGCTAGGGCCATTGAACAACAAAGTAGGGTAAGAGGTTATAAGATTTTCTAAGATCAAATCCTTGGTGAGGGCTGTTAGGCTGATGTGGAAAAACAGGTTACATTTGATGATCACACATTGTTCCTATGCCACACATCAGCTTTGAATGCTTAGGACAAGATTCAAAAATCATGAAAGATATCTGGGCCATTTACTAAAATTATACGAGGCCCAAAAGAAGCCTTCATTGATTTTTTGCAAAGATTGACTTCAGCTGTAAATAGAATGATATCAGATCCAGATGTTAGATGAACATTAGTTGAAATTTTGGCTTTGGTCTTTTGAAAATGATAATCCACAATGCAAAAGGGTAATTGGGCCTTTAAAGGTAAGATCAGCACCCATGAAGTATTGGATCAAACATACAGTAAATATTGTCTCCCATAACCATGTTTATGCTTAGAACGGAGAGGCTTGAAGAAAAATCAAAATGTCAGATTTCAATCATGGTAAACAAGGTCATCTAAAAAGGGATTGTAGGCATGGCATTCCTAGAAACAATATTTTTTTTTCTAGAGATAACCTAAATAGAAAGCTCCAGCCTTCTGGAATATGCAGAAGGTTTGGCAAAGGCTGACATTGGACCAATGAATGCAGATCAACAAGGGGCACAAAAGGTAACCCTTTACCATTGGGAAACAGCTTTGGAGTCTCTCACAGGCTCCCATGTGAAATTTTGTTCAGTCATTCCCTATCACAATGGGGAAAACCCCTCCTCATAGCAATTAAGACTTAATGCCTATTGTAAAAAAAAAAACAAAACAAACAAAAAAAACCAAAACATATTTCTCTGAATGGTAGAAAAGCATTAGAAGAGAAAATAAAAATATCAGGAGAAACCATAAAGTGAATATGTTGGAACACTTTCATAAATTATCAAAGACAAAAGCTCAAGGTCCAAATAAATGACATTGTAATTGAAGGTTTTTTAAACATAGGGGCAGATATAACAGTAATTGCACACAAATCCTGGCATCAAAATTGGCCTCTTCAAAAGGTAAATATTCAGCTTTTAAGGATTAGAACTTTATCTCAGGCGAAACAAAGATGAATGGGTTGAATGTATAGGCCCAGAAGGACAGAGAGGAAAATTAAAGCCATACCTGGCTAATATAGCAATGAACTAATCACGGCATGATTTGTTACAGCAATGGAATACCCAGATTAACATTCCTCCAGTCTCAGAAACAAACCATAAACTAATGTATATTTCTGGGAAAAACTATTAAAAGGTATTATAAAGAGCAGCCACTGACCACTTTGGTTGTACAAAAACAAGGCACAAGAGCTGCTGATTTTTCAAACGTACCAACAGCCCTCCATACCTTTAAAATGATTGACTGACAAACCTGTGTGGTTGAGATGATGGCCTTTGATATCAAAAAATTTACAGACCTTAGAAAAATTTGTATAGGGGCAGCTAAATGCTCAACTTATTGAGGAATCAAATAGTCATTGAAATTTTCTTTTTTTTTTTTTTAAAAGGAATTTTGGAAATTGGGGATTGTTGCCTGTTCTAGGGGTTCTTTTTAGGTTGTTCCACCCATTGGGTTTTTGCAGTCTGGAATTCTCGTGCCTTCTCTATTACCTAACCAATGGTTTATTATATTTATTTATTTAAAAGACTGTTTCTTCACTATACTTTTACAAGAAAAGATTAGGGAAAAATTTGACTTCACAGTGACTACATATAATAATTCTCAGCCTGTGAAGAAATATCAATGGAAGGTTCTCCCACAAGGGATGTTAAACAGACTCACCCTGTGCCAGTATTTTGAAGGACAGCCATGGGAAATGATTCATGCAGTTTGCTCAAACTATAATTTACCATTACATGGACAATATCTTAATAGCTGATTCAAATGTAGATACTTTAGAGAAAATTTTGAAGCAATAAAGAAAAATATTGCCTTGCTCCTAAAAACATACAAGGGGGAGATTCT